ATAATCATTATGGACATTTTTATTGGTGCATTATGATTGTATATAATAGATTCATTGTTACGTATTCTTACATGCATACAATATAACAAGATAATTTGGTCATTTGGTACTGGGAATTGAACCCAGGGGCACTTAATCACTGGGCCTCATCTCCAACCCTTTTTATTTTTTATTTTGAGACCGGGTCTCACTAAATTGCTTAGGGCCTTCATAAATTGTTGAGGCTAGCCTGGAACTTGCAGTTCTGATTACTGCTAGGATTGGCTAAAGGTGGGTCTTAAGGACAATAGACACCTTCTTGCATGATAATTGCCTGAGTGAAATCAATAGAGTCCTTCCCTCTAAAATCTGGAACAAGACAGAGATGCCCTCTCTCACCACTTCTATTCAATATAGTTCTTGAAATACTGGCCAGAGCAATTAGACAGACAAAAGAAATTAAAGGCATTAAGATAGGAAAAGAAGAACTTAAATTATCACTATTTGCGGATGATATGATCCTATACCTAGAAGACACAAAAGGGTCTACAAAGAAACTACTAGAGCTAATAAATGAATTCAGCAAAGTGGCAGGATATAAAATCAACACGCATAAATCAAAGGCATTCCTGTATATCAGCGACAAATCTTCTGAAATGGAAATGAGGAAAACCACCCCATTCACAATATCCTCAAAAAAAATAAAATACTTGGGAATCAACCTAACAAAAGAGGTGAAAGATTTATACAATGAAAACTACAGAACCCTAAAGAGAGAAATAGAAGAAGATCTTAGAAGATGGAAAAATATACCTGTTCATGGATAGGCAGAACTAACATCATCAAAATGGCGATATTACCAAAAGTTCTCTATAGGTTCAATGCAATGCCAATCAAAATCCCAACGGCATTTCTTGTAGAAATAGATAAAGCAATCATGAAATTCATATGGAAAAATAAAAGACCCAGAATAGCAAAAGCAATTCTAAGCAGGAAGTGTGAATCAGGAGGTATAGCGATACCAGATTTCAAACTGTACTACAGAGCAATAGTAACAAAAACAGCATGGTACTGGTACCAAAACAGGCAGGTGGACCAATGGTACAGAATAGAGGACAAAGAAACCAATCCACAAAATTACAACTATCTTATATTCGATAAAGGGGCTAAAAGCATGCAATGGAGGAAGGATAGCATCTTCAACAAATGGTGCTGGGAAAACTGGAAATCCATATGCAACAAAATGAAACTGAATCCCTTTCTCTCACCATGCACAAAAGTTAACTCAAAATGGATCAAGGAGCTTGATATCAAATCAGAGACTCTGCGTCTGATAGAAGAAAAAGTTGGCTCCGATGTACATATTGTGGGGTCGGGCTCCAAATTCCTTAATAGGACACCCATAGCCCAAGAGTTAAAAACAAGAATCAACAAATGGGACTTACTCAAACTAAAAAGTTTTTTCTCAGCAAGAGAAACAATAAGAGAGGTAAATAGGGAGCCTACATCCTGGGAACAAATCTTTACTCCTCACACTTCAGCTAGAGCCCTAATATCCAGAGTATACAAAGAACTCAAAAAATTAAGCAATAAGAAAACATATAACCCAATCAACAAATGGGCCAAGGACCTGAACAGACACTTCTCAGAGGAGGACATACAATCAATCAACAAGTACATGAAAAAATGCTCACCATCTCTAGCAGTCAGAGAAATGCAAATCAAAACCACCCTAAGATACCATCTCACTCCAGTAAGATTGGCAGCCATTATGAAGTCAAACAACAACAAGTGCTGGCGAGGATGTGGGGAAAAGGGTACTCTTGTACATTGCTGGTGGGACTGCAAATTGGTGCGGCCAATTTGGAAAGCAGTATGGAGATTCCTGGGAAAGCTGGGAATGGAACCACCATTTGACCCAACTATTGCCCTTCTCGGACTATTCCCTGAAGACCTTAAAAGAGCGTACTATAGGGATACTGCTACATCGATGTTCATAGCAGCACAATTCACAATAGCTAGACTGTGGAACCAACTTAGATGCCCTTTAATAGATGAATGGATTTAAAAAATATGGCATTTATACACAATGGAGTATTACTAAAGAATGACAAAATCATGGCATTTGCAGGGAAATGGATGGCATTAGAGCAGATTATGCTAAGTGAAGCTAGCCAATCCCTAAAAAACAAATGCCAAATGTCTTCTTTGATATAAGGAGGGCAACTAAAAACAGAGCAGGGAGGAAGAGCATGAGAAAAAGATTAACATTAAACAGGGACGAGAGGTGGGAGGGAAAGGGAGAGAGAAGGGAAATTGCATGGAAATGGAAGGAGACCCTCATTGTTATACAAAATTACATATAAGAGGATGTGAGGGGAAAGGGAAAAAAAAAAAACCAAGGGAGAGAAATGAATTACAGTAGATGGGGTAGAGAGAGAAGATGGGAGGGGGAGGGGGGGAATAGTAGAGGATAGGAGAGATAGCAGAATACAATAGTCACTAGTATGGCAATATGTAAAAACGTGGATGTGTAACCGATGTGATTCTGCAATCTGTATATGGGGTAAAAATGGGAGTTCATAACCCACTTGAATCAAATTATGAAATATGATATGTCAAGAGCTTTGTAATGTTTTGAACAACCAATTTAAAAAAAAAAAAAGAAATCAATAGAGTCCTCAAAGCAGGGGTGGTTCATCTCTTCAGATAGTAGAGGAAGACCTGCTGATGTTGGCAAGAGAAGCTTGTTGAATTTGGAGGTCTTCTCAAATGTTTTTATTCCCAATCCTCAGGTTTCCATGCAGTCCCAAAACCCAATTCACATAAGATACCCAGCAGGACTATGTGATAAATTTATGTTATAAATGTACAACCATTTGATGAAAAATTTGAGATTTGGGTTTTAGTTACATTGGCCTTCTGGCTACAAGAAAGTTTCCTTTAAGTTACTCATAGACACTCTCTATGCCTTGTTCCAGGAATTAAATCCCCAAGTTGCATATTTTTTCCTTGTAAGTTCATTAACAGGGTCAGAGGTGGCAAGCTCACCCTAGGTCCTTGTAGTTCTCAATTATAACATTATTTGTAATAGTCATGTGATTTCCGAAAGCTCTTCATTACAGGCAATTAAAAGTTGATAATTTTATAAACTCTTTTGGCACATGTTACTAGTACTAGTGACAAAATCACACTACAGGTGAGCATCCCTGATCCAAAAATCTGAAATCAATATGTCAAGAGCTTTGTAATGTTTTGAACAACCAATAAAAAAAAAAATCTGAAATCAGAAATGCTCCCAAATCTGAAATTTTTGAGTTGGGCACAGTGGCACATGCCTGTAGTATAAGCTACTCAGAAGGTTGAGGAAGGAGACTGTCTGAGCCCAGGAGAATTGAGGGCCAGCCTGAACAACATAGTGAGACCCTGTCTATAACAATAAATAAACAACAACAACTCTTTTTGAGTGTCAACATGCACCCCAAGTAGAATATACCACACCTGACCTCATGTGATGGTTCATAGTCAAAATGCAGGTACATTAAAAAATTGTATAAAATTACCTTCAGGCTGTGTGGATAAGATCTATATAAAACAATTTTGTCTTTGGACTTCGGTCTCATCTGTATATTAGGTAAACTCAAAGTCCAAAATCTAAAAGAAATTCAGAATCTGAACTACTACTGGCCTCAAGCATTTTGACCTGAACTTTCAAATATAACCAGGTCAGTTTCCCAACTTTGAAGTTTTTTTTGTTTTGTTTTGTTTTTTGTACCAGGGATGCTTAACCACTGAGTCACATCCCCAGTCCTTTTTATTTTTTATTTTGAGACGGGGTCTCACTAAGTTGCTTAGGACCTCACTGCTGAGGCTGGTCTTGATCTTGCAATCCTCCTTTCTTAGCCTCCGAAGCTCTGGGATTATAGGTGTGCGCCACCATGCCCATCTTAAACTTTGAGCCACTTTAAGAACCAAATACCTTATCAGTCAAGATTAGGTGGAGAAAATTGTTTGTGTTTTATATACTTAGGTTATGAAAAAACAAACTGCTTCTTTTTCCCTCTGCTCTCATACCACACCAATCTACTCAGAAAACTCTGACCTTGAAGGACAGGAGCACTCTCCCCAGCAGCAGTGGACTCCAGCTGGGCATTCAGTTCTGACACAGTCTACCTGGAGATAGCATCAGAGACCAAGAGTAGAGGGCTCATTCCCCAAGTCTGTTCTCACTTTGGTCCTAGCAGCAAATCCAGGCCTGTGGAACTTCTTACCAACAGTCATATTTTGGGGTTCTCACTACCCCCTCCTCAAGTTTGACTAGTTTGTCATAATGACTTACAGAACTCAAGGAAACACTATACTAACATTTACTGGTTTATTACAAAGGGGAAGTTCTGAAAGGGTCCTGAGTGCAGGAGCTTCTGCCCCCAAGGGGTTAGGGTGCACTACACTCCCAGTGCGTGGGTGCATTTTTGTTTGCCTTCCTGCAAGCTTCTGACCCCATCTTCTTAGGTTTATATGGGGACTTATAGCATAGGTGAGATTGCTGATTAGGCTGAGTGGGGCACCTTATTCAGCTTCTTGGCTTCTCTGTGCAACAACATGCCTCCCTCCAGGGTACAGTGAGGACCCCTTTTGGAATGAGGAGGGTCATATGACCAGCTAAAGACAGGGTAAGATTAGAGTTTCTAAAACTTCCTTGGAAAGGGAGTTATCAGCCAGGAACTGTGTTCAAAGACCAAAAATCATATGTCCTAATACCACAGTACTTTCAGCTGGAAGATTTTTATATAGAGAATTAAATGCTTACAAAATTCTTGAGAAGGCTCGGGGAACAAAAGTCAAGGGAAGCAGCCGCTGGCCTTGGGGAGCTCTGGAAGGATAGGAGTCACATGAAGTGACTCTGATCTCAGAGCTGGAGTGTCTGTAAGCTTTTTTCTGCAGAAAAGCTTTGCCAATTTACCTTCCCCTCCACATCACACCTTCGCTGGCACAGACTCTCTCTCTCTAATGTTTTTCAGCATATCAAGAGCAATCAGGAATTGTCAGAGAAGCTGTCGGGATTACAGCAAGAGAAAGAAGCTCTATGGGAAAGATGTGTGCAATTTTTGGAGCAGTTTGATGAGCATGTGAGGTAAACAAAAGCGGGTTCCCTTTGGAGGAAAACTGTAGAACAGCTGCTCCTGGCTGAGCCCACCCCAGAGCAAAGCGCTGGGTGCTCCCAAAGCAGCCTTTCAAGGTGCCATCATGATTTCCCTGAGGCCCTGGAAGTTCCCACTACCAGGCTTTTCCTGGGAAGATTTGGGGCCCAGTTTCTTCCCAATAGAGAGGGTGGGGAAGAGAAGGGCATTTCCACTTATGGAGCTCAGTCAATATCTAACTTGTTTTTTCCAAAATTATACTTGCCTTCGGGTTTTTCCCCCCTCACATACTCTCCTCAGCCTGGACCACCCTCTCCCTATTCCAACTCTTCATTTTAACTTCTAATTCTTAGACTAGGAATCACCTCCTCAAAGATGCCTTTTTTGACACCCGCCGTAATACCTTGTAAATGCTTCTCTGTACTTATTTCAGAACTGGCCATGATGTTTTCAAATAATGTGATTTACTATCAGTCTCCCTCACCAGACCACAGCCTCTTCAAGGGCATGAGCCATGATCTTATTCATTTTTTTATCCATACTCCCTGGTATATAGTAGATACTCAATTAAAATGAATGTTCCTAAGTAGGCCCATTTATGCATGTCTGTGGTCCCTGTGACTTGGGAGGCTGAGGGAGGAGGATCACCTGAGCCCAAGAGTTCAAGGCCACACAGAACTGGACCATATAGTGAAACCTATGTCTTTAAAAAAAAAAAAAAAAGAGGAGGAGCCCTGGGCATGGTGACCCAGGCCTATAACCCAGGGACTCAGGAGGCTAAAGCAGGAGGATCACAAGTTTGAGGTCAGCCTCACCAACTTAATGAGCCCTGTCTCAAAATAAAAACATAAAGGGCTGGAATGTAGCTCAGTGGGAGTGTGCTTGCCCAGAATCTCACATACGCAAAAAAAAAAAAAAAAAAATCTGAAGATATTATCTTTTCCATTTTCTGCTCATAATTCTACCTGAGTCCTTTTCCTTTCCTCCTCTCTGAAGCAATGGAGCAAAGTAATGGAGAAAATGGACTCTGGAGCCACAGTGCCTAGTGACAAATCCTGGCTCTACTAGAATTGCTAACTTTGCGCGAGTTATAAAACCTCTTTGTGCCGGAGGCTCCTCTCTTTAAAATATACAAGATAACAGTATTTATCTCATAAAGTGGTTGAGACCTAAGTGAGTGGATCTCTGGAGAGTGCTGACTTAGCACAATGTCTGGCACATGGCAGTGCTATTATTATATTTATTTCTTGTGCTTTTTCCATGACCCACCTACCTCTCTGCTCTGGTCCTCCTATAGGTTCAAGTTCCTTATTCTCTTACCTACCTACTATATTGATGGTATTAATGATTTAAAAAATATTGTGTAGCCAGATGTGGTGATTCAGACCTGTTATCCAAGTTATTGAGGCTGAGGTAGGAGGATTGCAAATTCCAGGCCAGCCTCCACAACTTAGTGAGACCCCGTCTCAAAATATTCTATTTCTTTCTTTCCTTCTTTCTATGGTGCTGGGAATCAAACCCAGGGCCTCATGCATGCCAGGCAAGCACTCCACCACTGAGCCACACTTGCCAGCTCTGTATTCTTTTTCTCTTAATATCTCATAGGCCATTGCGCTTTGTTGCTATAGCCTTTGAATTTGTATTCATAAAATATTTTTTTAAAGTTGGTATGCCCTTGGAATAACACTGGCAGTTGGATTGCTAAAAACTAAGAGAACCCAAAATGACATGCTCACAGATGCATAACTTATTGCAAGATATAATATAGCAACAGCATTAGGAGAGAGGTTTGCATTACAGCCCCTGGGTGTCTCTGAAGCAAGGGGTCCAGAGAAGTTAGGCAGGAGTTGACAGTGGCCCTCCCTCTGCAAGAACTATGGCAGATGTATTTCCTCTTTCAGAACAGAAACCATGTATCACTGAAGACCTCAGAACCAGGAAACCCACGAGTCTCAGATTTTATTTTTATATTCTACATATAAGCCTATTCCTGCTATGTCACCCGCCTCAAGAGCAGAGCTTTCTTTGGGTCTCACTGAGACCAGCACAAATCATCATTCTCAGTGTTACCAATAAACAATGCTGACAAACTGGTACAAAATGCCATGATACTCCTTGAGCCAGTGGTTATGAAGCCACATTGTTTTAATTAGCATATTTCATGCCTTGACCAGAAGTTAGTGCCAAGCAGGAAAAGCAGCTAAACATTTTAGGTTACTTTTAGGTCTGCAGGAATTAACTGTCACAACACAACCCTAATTTAGTTAGGAATTAGTCAGTGCTCCAATGGTTGAATATTTTTATTCAAAATGACGCTGAAAAAAATAATTTTGATATATTTTTTCTCATTTTAAAATTTATTGTTATAGAACTATGGACCTTAAAATGTATTGACAAACATCTAGAAGCAGCCTACTAAAATGTGTTCCATCATATAGCAGAGTAGCAATTTCTCTACATCTTCATTTGCATTGGGTACCACTATTGATGGGAAGTGCCTAGACCCTGATGAAAATGTCCCTAATACTCTTTGTTTGGATTGAGGTATAATTTACATTCAATAAACAAAAGATTTTTTAATGTACAATTGGATGAGTTTTGACAACCACCACCCCAATCTCCTGTATGTAATCTTTTTTTTTTTTTTTTTTTGGTCTGACTTTTGTTTAGTATATTCCATTATTTTAATGTGTGCTTGTAGTCAGAAATTGTCACTTTGGGGGAAGGGGAGGTTCTAAGGATTGAACGTAAGGGTGCTTAACCACTGAGCCACATCCCCAACCCTTTTTTGAATTTTATTTAGAGATAGGATCTCCCTGAGTCACTTAGCTCCTTGCTAAGTTGCTGAGGCTGGCTTTGAACTTGTGATCCTCCTGCCTTGGCCTCCCAAGCTGCTGGGATTACAGGTGTATGCCACTGTACCCAGCTGTCATTGTATTTTGAAATCTTGATGGCTGGGATGAGGCTGAGTATTTTACTATGTTATTTGCCTTTAGCAAAGTAGATCTTCATCTTGGCTCCACATGCCTGGGTCCCAACATAGATTAATTAAATCAAAATCTGTCAGCATAGCACCTATAAATCAATATTTTTAATATTATTTTAGATGTTGATGGACCTTTATTTTATTCATTTATTCATGTGTGGGGCTGAGAATCGAACCAAGTACCCCACAAATACCAGGCAAGCACTCCACCACTGAACCTCAACCCCAGCCCAAATCAATATTTTTTAAAAGCATTGCCATATGACGTATATCCAGAGTTGAAAACTACAGATTTATGAAAGAAAATAAGAGGAATCATTAAAACTCCAGATTCATTTTTGTTTTCACTCTCCTGATCCCAAGTCCTGATCTGTGCAGACAAGGATTATTTTTTACATTTTTTTCAACCACTCTTCCAGAGAAACAAATTCCTTGCCTTTTTGAAATCAACATAATAAACAATATGGTTTTACTTGAACGCAAGCTGAAGGTTGCTCCTAAATTTTAGAAGCCAAGTATTGTGCTGTCTCATAATGTTTAATTAACAAAGCCAAAAATAAACATAGAAAATCCACATGTTCTTTGGGCCTGTTGGCCAATAGAATTTCAGACCAAGCCAGTATCTGTGCCAGATAGCCAGCTAGCAATGGCCAGGGAAGGTCTAAGCTCCACCAGCTGCACTGTGTCCATGTACTCCTCAGACCTGCAAAACACCCCAGGGAGACCTAAATATCCCAAACTAGGAGGCCAGTTAGGTAGAGTATAAAACATTCACTTCATGAAGCATAATACAGCTACAAAGGATGGTGGCCACAAAACTATATAACAACATGGAGAAATGCTTATGATACATATCATATGTTTATGATAACAAATGAAGAGGGTGTAAGATAAACATTGTAATGAAGAAAATGTTTAAACAGAGATGCCTATAAAAATACTAGAAGGAAAAACAATAATATAATATTGACCGATACTGGAAGTTGGATATTTTCCCCAAATGTTCCGTAATTTATCCTCTTACTTTAAAGTATAAATTTATTCTTTTTTGAAGGATATAATGGGTATGGAACCCAGAGGCCCTCTACCACTGAGCTACATCCCTGGCCCTTTTTATTTTTTATTTGGAGACAGGATCTCACTGAGTTGTGGAGGCTGGCCTTGAACTTGCAATCCTCCTGCCTTAGCCACCTGAGTAGTTGGGATTACAGATGTGTGCCATGGCATCCAGCTTGAATTTATTTTTTAATAATCCAAAAGGCAGGATAAGAGAGACAGCAGCTATCTGGAATAGGAAACTATAGACTGGGTTTTAATATCTCATTATAGGATGGGTGGAAGAAATTCCAGAAGTATATTTTGTGTTTTCAATTATGTCAAAACATCCAAGTTACTACAAACAACTGGGAAACCTGGAGGATGACGGGTATATTATTGGTACCCTGCTAGATACTACATCTCTGAAGCTATTCAGGATGCTGAAACGCAGTGCTAGTGATACCTTTTACCAAGCATTCCTAGTAAAAAGGAAAATGAGATCATTTACAAAGTGGAAATATCTCCTTGTAAAGAATCAAAGTCACAGCAGTGGTAATTGTGAACACAATTTACAAAGTGTGTGCCTCATATTATGTAGCAGGTGCTGAACCCAAATGGGACTCAGACAGTTTTAGGAATGTACTTTTATATAGCAAACTACATTAATTAAGATACTGTAGCAAAGACCCTGAATAAAAATAGTTTCCAAAAGGGAGACACTTCTCTCTTACCTAACAATGCAGACCTAAGCAGTTCAGGATTGCCACGGTGGCTCAGTGCATCAGAAGCCTGGGCACCTGCTATATTGTCTGTTGCTCCAGCTTCTTGAACATGTTTTCCTTATTCATGTAGCTCAAGACAGCTCACTATTATATCCATCCCAGCCAATAAAAAGGAAGGAAGGGAAAGGCGATGGCATTGCATTTTCCAACAAAGCATGCTATTTCCCCTTACATTCTGTTAGCCCAG